CTGGGAAACTTTGCATTGTTTATTAAATAAAGCAGAAAACGAGAGGAATGGCACAGTGAGAAATAAGGTCACCAGATAAAGCTTTTTGGCTACCCTGTTTCCTGTTCGGGGTAGCTCTACAAGCCACTCTGAGAATTTCATTCCCCTAACCCGGGTTGCAAGTTCTCCATTTCCTGTCACTCATCTCTGCCATCTCCCCCAATCTTGAACCGCCAAACCAAAGCAGTTCAATCAGATTAATAAGACGCAGTTAATTTGTTGGAAGAGCTCTCCAGTAAACAACTTCTTCCCAGATTTTACTGTGTGGACGACTGGAACTTTATCAGCAGAGTGAGAACTGGCTGTACCGTGTCTGTTAGAACTAGCCATAAAATAAGGCGGCTCCTCCTGGCCTTCCTTCCACAGTGTAGCTGGAAAGAAAAGGGTGGCTTTTCAGGCTGGCTCCCTGGCCTGGTGGTTGGGGAAGCCAGACCTCACATGGCTGACTGCATGGTTTGAGTCCTGAACTGGGTAGTTTGAGAAACAGGCTGGGTGTGTACCTGTGTGCCCAAAATCCTGCAAGGAAGTGGAGAGGAACACAGTGTGACCATGCCCCACGTGGGGGGATGCTTTCTCCTCTCTCTGGCATGCACATATGCCAAAAAATGAGAGGAGGGGTTGACTACAATAGCTACAAAACGTTTTGGGTTGACATTTTTTTAATCAGTGTCTACAGTTTGAGACTGAAGCTGTGTGGGGCAGCTGCGCAGTGTGGTCAGGACAGGCGTTGGGTGTCAGCGGTGATGGCCGTCAGAAAGCCCTTCTCATACTTCCGCAGCGATCAAAGCGAGATGCTTCACATTTCAAGTGTTTGGTCTAAAAACAGCTGCATCTTTTGTCCAACTCAATTAAGGAGGTAGAAACTGTTATGAAGGGCATAGGATAGAGATGTATTCCAGAGCCTAAGAAAGAGTTGTGAGAAGGAAAAGAACAGGCCCGGGAACCAGAAGTTAGCGTAATGGCTATGTCACTGGACTCCCATGTAGTTGACCGCGGTTCACATCCCGGACCTGACGGCTTAAAACTCACGCCGGGTGCGTGTGTGTGCATGCCCAAGATCCCGAGAGGAGAATGGAGGAGAAGGAATTGCGGCATGGCCATCCCCCCTGGGGGGTGATTTCTTGCTTTCTGTTTCTATGTCTCTCTCTGTCTGGCGAGCGCATGTGCCCTATAGTGAATCTCTCCCCCCAAAAAACCCAAAAAAACAGGCCTGAAACGTTTTACTGAGAAACTACTGCTTTCAATGTAGCTGCAGTGTTGAGGACTTTATTTAACCCTGTGTATTGTTTTTCCAGATAAAGGTCAGGAACCCATATTGCCTAATTCCACCACACTGCTAATTGATAACTAATTAAAACTATCCCAATAAATGTTTTTAACATTAAAAACAAAAAAAAAAAAACACTATGGTATACAGAATGGAGAAAGACTGCCACATCTTTGCCTTTTGCCTGTGTAAGAACAGAGGGTCTAGAACAGCAAGGGGCAATAAAAGTGATCTTGTTTTATAAATTCATGTCCCTAGCTAGCTCACTTTCGAAATTCAAGACCGTGAAAAAAAATAATCTGTACTGAATCGAGATTACTGATTAACCACAAAGGGGCTTTCAGCAGGTCTCTAAATTGCTGATTCAGAAAACCAGAGTTGGGGGCTGGTGCCAGTGCAGGGATGAAGGCTACGCTTGGGGAGTTGGAGCCCACGTGGCCAACACAGACCAGGTTCTGGTCCCGGCAACGGAGAAACACACCAGGCGCACGCACATGTGCATGCTCAAAATCCTGTAAAACAAGGCAGCTCACCCTGGCCTTTCTTCCATGATATAGCAGCAAAGAAAAGGGAATCAGGCTGGCTCCCTGGCCTGGTGGTTGAAGAAGCCAGAACTTTCATGGCTGACTAGAGAAATGGAGCTAAGAGGACCACAGTGACCATGCCCACCGTGAGCGTGCCCCCCATGGGCGAGTTCTTCCTTCCCCTTTGTCTGTCTCTGGCAAGCACATATGCCTTCTAGCCCCCTCTCCCCCCAAAAATAAAGTTGGAAGGAGGATTACTTGGTGTCCTGTCACCAATGCTTGTATTATTTTTCTTTATCATTTATTTATTGGGAGAGGTTTCTGCTATAGGGTGTGTGCGCGCTCTCGCAAGAGACAGAAAGCAAGAAATCTCCCCTGGGGGGATGGCAATCCCTTCTCCTCCATTCTCCTCCTGGGATCTTGAGCACGCACGCACACGCACCCAGTGTGAGTTTAAGCCATTGGGTCTGGGATTCGAACCACAATCGACTACAAGGGAGTCCAGCGACACAGCCATTATGCTATCTGCTGGTCCCTCACCAGTGCTTTTATGTTTAAGTGAACCTAACAGAAACCTGAACCTAGGTCTCCAGAGGCCTTGGCCAGTGTTCTTTTTACAAACGTTTGTTCCCTGCAGAGATGCCACTACTAATAGGATTTCTTCAGGCTTCATTAAAGCTGTTTTGTTTTTTTTTTAAGAATTAATTATTATTATTTTTCAATTTGACCAGAGAGTGACAGGGAGTGAGAAAGCAAGCTGCCAGGTCTGTGATGACCCCGTGGTCAGCCATGTGGGTGGGAGTCTAGCGCCTTCACCACCACTCCACCTGCTGGCTGGTCCCAAGGCTGTTATTAATACTACTGGGTAGGGTTCTACTTCTAGCTCTGCTCTGGCACCAGTTAATTATAGTTGCGTCACCTTAAGCAGGTCACTCGGCCTCTCTGAACCTCATCAATGACAGAAGGCTGTATTGCATGAATCTTGAGAGAATGTGAAAAATGAGTAGCATGCTTCTTAGTGTGTTGCTGGTGTGCGAAAGTTGATTTCCTTTGTGTCAAACTATGCCGAAGCTGTAAAAATTCAGAGTTCTAATTCCCAGTCCTGCAGGAGGTCATCATTTATTAGGGGCAAGAGGATTTACCACCCATGATAAGGATAATTGCTCTTTAATAATCCTTCCCAAAAGGACTTACTTGATGGTTTAAAGGAGCAGAAGAGAGTTCTTGGCTATAAGCAAACCTGAAAGTACTGACGGAAGAGCGCTTGAATTCCTTCTCATGCCAGAGAGATGAGATCTGGACAGGGGAGGGTTAGCCGAAGTTTCAGGTTTGGGGGGTGCAGGGAATGTGGGCTGCCTGGTGGCCTGGCACGCCGGGAGATGAGGAAACCACGGACTGGGAGGCCAGAGACCTCTGAGCACTTGCTGGGGACTGTGGCTTTTATCCTGTAGGCAGCAAGGAGTCAGGAGAGCTGAAATGCAGACGGGGCTGGGCCGGGGCCGGGTTCATCTCAAAATCACCCGAGGGGCAGTGGGCAAACCAGAGACAGAGAGATCAGCAGGGGCTATTCCTACCTGTGGAGAGGCCACGGGACTAGAAAGGACTTGAATGTATCAGAGTCTCAACTGAATGTGTTCGGGTCTTTAGCAGGTGGCTGTACAAGTCGGTGACCTGTATTTACAATGAGTAAAAGGTTGTATTATTTATTATTTTTTAAAAATTATTATTATTTTTTTTGGAGAGGTTTTTGCTATAGGGCACGTGCGCTCACCAGACAGAGAGAGACATAGAGATAGAAAGTGAGAAATCATCCCCCAGAGGGGATGATCAAGCTGCAATCTCTTCTCCTCCATTCTCCTCTCGGGATCTTGGGTATGCACGCACACGCGCCCGGCGTGAGTTTAAGCCACCGGGTCCGGGACGCGAACCGCAGTTGACAACATGGGAGTCCAGCAACACAGCCATTACGCTAACTGCTGGTTCCCAAGTGCTGTATTATTTTTAAAAATGGTAATGGGAAGGCCTCTTAAAAGTTTCGAGTGAAGCCTATTGTGGCGTGGCTTTAGAGTACCCGTGGGGAATGGGATCAGGACCTGCGTAGGAGGGTGCTGCGGCACAGCAGGCGGGGGGACGAACTTGGGTGCTGGTGACAGCAATGACAAGAGGACTAGGCAAAGAACTGAGGGGAGAGGGCTGATTAAACACAGGGGTAAATGTCAGGACAAACTGAGTCTCATGGTGAAGTAAGAACAGGGGGCACACTTGTAAATGCGTGTTTGTTTTTTAAACAGAATCAATCTGCTGCTTAAAAAGGTTGTCAAGTCCTTTCTAACATTTAGATTTTATGTATTCATTTTTCGTATCAGGGAAAGTGAAGGGATCACAATTTAAGGGAAAGTCCCTTTTTGGAGTACTAGCCCTTCGATCCCACAAGATGTAGGCAAAGCATTTCCAAATGGCAGCTGCATAACATTATCACAAAGTAACGTTAAATAAAAGGTTTTGCTTTTATTTAAAATAAAATGCATTTATACAGACTTTAATCCATGGATTACTGGACAATACTGGTAATCTACCCCTTCCTGGCACCCCTTGGGCTATGTGAGCTAGGAATTTTCTGACTAGCACCAATGCAGATTGTAACAGCGCAACGGACGAGAACATGATCAGTCCAGGCCTCAGGGTTAAGGACATTGTGGCAAATCATGACCATAATGAAGTTACTCTTAATTTAGCAGATATTAAAATTACATATTAATAATTTCTTCTTAAAAGCATTTAATTAATGCAAAATGCTACATTTAAGCCATTTGCTAGATGTAGGCTTTTAAAAACTGTACAATTTTATAAAATTTGTGTTTGTACATTAGTTACACAAAATGCATACTTCATAGACCTTTACTTCATATTGTAATGCAAAAGTTGCATATTTTAGGCAGACAGTGAATATGCTGGTGAATACTAAAAGTGTTGTAATACAATGTGGTGTAAAAATAAAAACAAGACAATACAAATACATGCTTATTCAAGGACAAAAAGAACAAAACCAAGCATAACAGACTAACAGCATTTTCCTTCAAGGTCAAATATGACATTATTAAATATCAGGCATCTTTTATAGACCTGATTTATATGGGATGGGGGAATCAAATGGCTACCAGAGTAAGATATTTTAAAACATGACATCAAATTAAACATACATTAAAACACATGCATTAAACATGATAAATAGACTTCATATAGGTTAAGCCCTGGATAGCTTTAAAGTAGATGGCTTGTTTCTTACAGTTTTCCTGACCTGCCCACGATTTCAGTTTCCAATTCATGGCCCTAAGGAATGTGTGCCATATTCAATAGCCCACAGAGCTTCACGATAGCAGATTAATAGTCGTGCTCGTTAGTGCACACAGTAACTGGTCTGGTAAGGCAAACGAGTTTTCATGATAAAATAATAAATTTCAAGCTTACTTCATTAAGCAGCATATAAAAACAGCTTTTAAAGTTAAATATTGTTATGGCCATGGAGTTTTATTATACAGTATTTCTCTTCACACCCAACCACTGGTAAGTTTGTAGAACATCTCTTCATCTAAGCTCTCATTTTGGTCTTTTGCACGTGTTGAGAGGAATATGTAGCCACCAATGAATTCGTGGACCACTTTGCAATCTACTTCTGTACAAATGAAGGACAGCCGGACTTCATCTGCAAACTCTACGGTGACCTAAACAAAGACAAGGACAATCAGTTGCAGTAAAATTTGAGATGGTCAGGTCCAAGCAAAGTTACTGTGCTGCTTAGGGTCTGTCTTACCACAAAATATCTGTTGATCTTTGTTTGTTTGTAAGGTCCTAAACTATAATGCTGTCAAGTCCAAAGAGTTAAATTTGCTTGCTCTTCCCACCCTTTTAGTTTTCATTATTTATAGACTAAATGGTCTCTAGTGATTCAATTAATGAGAATGTCTTTCTTCAGGTCCTGGGAGAAAACCTACTTCCTGTGTTTTATTTAATATTTGCTTTACATATTTAACCTTTAGGTATCGTGTTTGAATATTTCAGAGGGATGAGATTTTAAAAAGTATGAGGAACTGATAAATCTAACATGATTCTAAACCAAATGACTTACTAGTAAGAAACTTTATTTAAAATAAATTTCATGTACTCCAAGTTAGGAGTAGATGAGGAATATTAAAAAACTTCATGGGAAATGTATATTATGAAAAAACTATGGGGAACCAGCAGTTAGCGTAATGGCTATGTCGCTGGACTCCCACGTAGTCGACCGCGGTTCGCGTCCCAGACCCGGTGGCTTAGAACTCATGCCAGGTGCATGTGCATGTGTGCCCAAGATCCCAAGAGGAGAATGGAGGAGAAGGGATTATGGCGTGGCCATCCCCCCTGGGGGGTGATTTCTCGCTTTCTGTCTCTATGTCTCTGTCTGGCGAGTGCATGTGCCCTATAGCGAAAACCTCTCAAAAAACAAACAAACAAAAACTATGGGGAACCAGCAGTTAGCATAATGGCTATGTCGCTGGACTCCCACATAGTCGACCGCAGTTCGTGTCCCGGACCTGGTGGCTTAGAACTCACGTCGGGCGTGTGTGCGTGCGGCCCAAGATCCTGAGAGGAGAATGGAGGAGAAGGGATTGCTATGTGGCCATCCCCCCCTGGGGGGGGGATTTGACACTTTCTATCTCTCTGTCTCTCTCTGTCTTTCTGGCGAGCGCATGCGCCCTATAGTGAAAACCTCTCCAAAAAACAAAAACAAACACACAAAAAAACTATGCATGGACTTGTTTTGTAGTAAAACTCATACTTTACTTCCATTTTTCCACAAAGTTTTTTTTTTTTTTTTGAGAGATTTTCACTGTAGGGCGCGTGCGCTCGCCAGACAGACAGAGAGAGACATAGAGACAGAAAGCGAGAAATCACCCCCCAGGGGGGATGGTCACGCCGCAATCCCTTCTCCTCCATTCTCCTCTCGGGATCTTGGGCACGCACGCACACGCGCCCGGCGTGAGTTTTAAGCCACCGGGTCCGGGACACGAACCGCGGTCGACTACGTGGGAGTCCAGCGACATAGCCATTACGCTAACTGCTGGTTCCTCCACAAAGTTTTTTGAAGCCTCTCATGTACTGATACATGTGACAGGCTGAAGAGCCCGAAGAGGCAAATCCTGAGTCTGTTGCTATAGGCATGGTCATGGATACTGACAGCCCTTAGCCCTCTAAGCTTAAGCAGCCTCGTTTGTAAGTGCAGGTAATCCATACGCCTTAGCAGGCTGTGATGATGGGACCAGCAGATGGCATAATGGTTATGTTGCTGAACTCCCACGTAGTGGACCCTGGTTCGAGTCCAGACCCAGTGGCTTACAACTCAGCCAGCACCTATGCGTGCATGCCCAAAATCCTGAGAGGAGAATGAAGAAGAGATTGTGGCATATCCATCCCCTGGCAAGTGATTTCTCACTTTCTGTCTGTCTCTCTCTCTGGCCAGCACACGTGCCCTACCGCAAAAATCTCTCTTTAAAACTCATCACAGCCTTTTTTTTTAATTTTGGAGAAAGGGCATGAACGGAAATATACAGTATTACATGGGGCACAGAGTAAGCGTTCAATAAATAAGAGCCACTGTTGAGTTGACAGGATTTATCTATTATAAAAAGACAACCTTTAAAAAAATCATGCACTAATCTAAACAAATACATGATATCCTAGGCCAGCAAGTGGCATGGAGGCTAGTTAAGGCAGCTAGATCCCTGATGGTCAACTGTGTGGTTCAAGTCCCAGACCTAACAGCTTAGAAAACACCCTGGGCACATGTGCAATTCATGCCCCCAAACCCCCAATAATGGAGGAGAAGGAACTGCAGAGTGGCCATCTCTTTCTGAGGGGGATCTCACTTTCCCTCTCTGGCAAGTGGCATGCATCTTATGGCAAAACTAAAAAAGTCCTTAGAGTTTTTTTCTTTTTTTGAGAGTTTTTTGCTATAGAGCATGTGTGTTCACTAGACAGAGACAGAAAGCAAGAAATCCCCACCCCCACCCCCCCAGGGGGAACGGCCATGCCACAATCCCTTCTCCTCCATTCTCCTCTTGGGATCTTGGGCATGTATGCACACACGCCTGGCTTGAGTTTAAGCCACCAGGTCTGGGACTCAAACTGTGGTTGACTACATGGGAGTCCTGTGACATACCATTACACCAGCTGCTGGTCCCAGTCCTTAGAATTTTAATAACTGAGCCAGTTATGAAATAGGCAAGAAAAAAACCACCATGGTCTGTACTTTAAGAGGTAATGGTGGGCCCATCAGGCAGCATGGTGGTTAAGGTGAAGTTCAAATTCTGGCCTGGTGGCTTGCTTTCTCACATTTCCCTTCTCAATCTAGTGAGTGCCTCTGCCCTACAGCAAATTTAAAAACAGCAGTAAAGTTTCTTTTTAAAAAAGAAGGGGGACCAGCGGATGGTATAATGGTTATGTTGCTGGACTCCCATGTAGTCAACTGTGGTTCAAATCCTGGACCTGGTGGCTTAAAATTTATGCTGGGCATATGTTCATGCATGCCCAAAATTCCCAATGTAGAATAAGGGAGAAGGGACTGTGGCACGACCATCCTCCCGCAGGGGTGATTTTTTGCTTTCTCTCTGGTGAGTGCACATGCCCTATAGCAAACATCTCTCTCTCAAAACCAAACGAAGACAAAGAAAAATAAAGAAACGATGTAATGGTACAGATAACCTTCAGAACTTATAGACCTTTTTACTTTTTTTTTTTTTTTTTAAGGTTTTTGACACATGTGCTTGCCAGAGAAAGACAGAGGGAAAGTGAGAAACTGCCCTCCAGAGGGGCCTTCCAGAGGAAATGGCCACGCCACAATCCCTTTTCCTTCATTCTCCTCCTGGGATTTTGGGCATACAATGCACATGCACCTGGTATGACTTTCAAGCTTCTGGATCTGGGATCTGAATCAGAGCTGACCGTGTGGGAGCCCAATGCCCTCACCACACCACTTGCTGACCCCAGACCTTTTTACTCTTCATTTTCTAATTTTTACCAGAGGGACTGTATTCTGGTTAGCAATATTGTTACTAGCTCACCATTTTTATTTCCCAATTTACATTCCACTGCTTCATGTTGCTGAAACGCCATGTTTTAATTGCATCTCCTGTGCCAGCATCCATCCTGATTAGTCTGTTGTATGCAATTCCAATAAGTTCTTCTTTTTTGCCTCCTTGGAACCTATAACATTAAAAAGTTTTTATTTTTTTATTTGGAGGGGGAACTTTCTTCAAGGTATCTACTCTCAAATCTTTTTTAAAAAAATACCATTCCTATGAGTGAAAACAGAAATGCCATCATTTTGAATTTGTAAAGTAAAAATTACGGATTAACAGGTCCAAGTAGGTGTGTTTTCAATGTTTTTTTTTTTTTTTAGATGAGGGAGATTAAGTAAAACTGCAGATTAAGTGTTATACATCAGTCCTAGAACCACTGACCTTGCAATGAAGTGTGTGATGCCGAATTCAGGTAAGGACTGCCAAGCTTGAATAAATCTCATCTTGGCTTCAATAAGACTCATCTGAGCTACATTTTGATGGGCCTCCAAGATTCTTGCTGTTATCTAAACATGATTCAACATTATCATTAGACATTATTCTTTCATAGTAGAATCAGATAAAAAGGATCAAAAGATAAAATTGTATGTCCCAACTCAAAATCATATAGTCTAAGAGCTGGAATTATAACATAGCTGAAGCTATATTTGGGAATTTTTAATAAAGCAATATATAAAGTAATGACCTTTCAAAAATAAAGTATCTTTTTAATTGAAGCTATATTCCAAGTGCACATACAATGGCATGCCACTATACCATATTCTAATTCACATATACTTGAGTTTATATTCTAATCCCATAAATATGTGTTTAAATTTAGCAACAAAATATATTAATAGAGTGAGTACCTGGAATACAAGTTTCTAGGAAGAATATTTAAATCACTATATTAATTTTGAAAAACTTTATTCATCTGGATGACTGCCTCCACAGGGGTGGGAGGGGATTAATCTATGACAGAAGTTTGTGGCTATGGCTTTTAACTTAACTTTTTTTTTTTTTGTAAATATGGAGAACTTACCAAATCTCTTATATAGCCTGGCTGTAGGTGGCAATGCGAGGAAAGAAAAAGAAAGCAGAAAGAAAAAAAAAGCAATCAGAAAAAATGGCAATGAAGCAAAGAAAAAGTTGCGGTAACCTGCAAACCAAAATTCCAGCCAAAAACCATGCAAAAAATTACTTTTAAGTAGAACCAAGCAAAGTAAATGCAAGAATGAAAATGAGGAAGCAGCAATTATTTTCCATTTAGAATACTGAGAAACACTCCACCTTGTTTTAGGATGTTAAATGTTACTAAAATTAAGGGTAGAGACTTGTAGAGGGAAAAATACAAAGAGCAAATACCCCACTCCTCTGTCATGTACCAGTTTTTACTGGTTAAGGTAAAGCAATTTTATTTTAGTAGCAAAATAAAAATTAATAGTCAAGAGCCTTTCAAGTCTTCTCAAATTTAGTCAGATAATATGACCCATGCACCGCTTTTCAGAAATAAGTTGAAGGAGGCATAAAATAAGTGCAGTGCCCATACTGTATCTTTATTTACACAAGAAAAGCAAACTCCTCCATTACCATCTGTTTTTTGCATCCTTTATCCTGGAAGGGAAAATAGAGAGCTGCCATACACTGCACTAGGAACTGTGGCTATGAATGTATTACAGTCCATTTCAACTCAGATTAACAAAGATAACTGCGAGTCATGTTCATTTCAAAATATCCACAGCAGGTTTAGTTATCTTAATATGTATCATTTGGGGGGATTAAAGCGGGTTAATATCACAGATGTTGTAGTGATGGGCAGAGGAAAATCTGTTTACACCATGGCAGGGATGAATGACCCTGAGAACTGAATGTCTCCCGGCAGACTACTGGGTTCAGTGCACAATTACTAAGCAGTGTGATCAACTAGCACGGTGCCTGATACAGCAGAAGATAACTTCTGCCTATGAGCAATTAGGTGCCAGGCAGGAAGCTATACATGGGCCCTACCTTCTGGGACAACCTGTAAGTACAGACAAAGAATGATCAGAAAAGAATGTGTACTTGATAAGATGCCAGTGTGGAAGATAAGAGAAAGATCCTTAACGATGGACCACACACCTACTGACTGCCCTTCTGTCAAAGATGAGGGAAAATGATCTTTGACCTCAAGAATTTTCAATTGACAATCTAGTCAACTCAGGGATAGAAACTATCATAGTAAAAGTTTCTGAGGAAAATGCTTATCACTGACAGTAAAACCAACATTTTGCAGTCCTCAATTATATTTTAAGCCCCACCCCCAGAGCTGATAGTGACATGACAAAATCGCTAGGATTTGAAATTATTCATTGCTGTGAAGGCAAATGAATTCACTTTTGGAAACACGTTTCTTTACAAATAATTTTTAAATGAAATAACCAAGAATAAAAAATGGAACTTGCTTCACTTTCCCTTTGTAACTTAGAATCCACATTCCGCAAAGTTCCCCAGGGCAGCATTTCCTCCATTCCTTACTACTCCCACATCATTACTGTGGGATAAACAATTCCCAAGTAGCTTACACAACCTCTGAAACTTAAAGACAAATACTTTGCGATTAAAACTTCTGAATATTTCTAATTCAGACTCTTATAACATAGATTAAAAACAAAACTAGATAAGAAAGCTAGTATACACCAGAAAGTTCATGGAAGATGGGATTAAAGTATTAGTTTATTCTGGTACAAAAAAATGTTTTAAGTCTATGCATAATTGTTTCATAATAAGAATTTTCCATGAACTTCCTGAAGAGTTATTTTAGCCTATATTTATTTTAAGGGTCTTTTCCACCCTGTCCCCTAAAACCTGAAAGTATTTCCTTTTATGGCATGTTTGGTGCAGAGAATACTTGGGGGCTATCCCAAATGAAATTCCCCTGCAAAGGACTTTTCATGTTATACCAAACCATTTTCCTAAATAGCAATCCTTTTATGGTATTAACTTCCAGGAAAGAGATTCTACATAGAATAGACAAAAGCTATGAATTTCAATGAAAATTTACTAACTCTTGTTGAAAAGTTTAGTTGCGTTCTGACTGTTAATGTTAAGAAAGGACAACTTCCAAAGATGGAAATGCCAATTTCAACAGCAAGAACAGGTATTGCAGATTCTGTTGGGAAATACTGGCTGTGCTTTATATCACTTATATGATTTACTAGATTACATAAAGAATAGCATTAAAGGACTACAACGCATTAAGAACATATTCAATCCCCTGAAATGTTCAAACAAATATCCTGTTCACAGACTGAGTTCCTCAGGTTGTTTAGAATAAATACGCCCAACTATCCCACCTTGTCATCTGTCCAAACTGATAAAAGGTTTTTTCCATAGCGAATTTAAACTACCCAAAGGCTCTTTTATATTCTAACCACCTGGAAAAAGTCTTCAGAAGGGAAATTTAAAGTATATGTCCAAAATTATAAAACCAGTGGAAAAGAGTAGATGAAGTAAAATAAATCAAGTACCTGCTTGTTCTTATACTTTTTTAGATAGCGAGGAGACACCAAACACTCAGGATTTATATCCGTTGTAATCTGCTCTGGTATTAACTGAGGATCTGGATTTAAATGCTGCATCTTCAGAAAGGAGAGAATATTCTGAACTTCTAGGTTGTAAGAACTGTCTGCCATGGTCTTGCCTTTGGAGGCCAGTCTGCAGGCGGCCATCCAGTGTGCGTACTGTTTTTCCTGTTGAAAAGAAATACCGATGTATGAAATGAATACGGTGGGTCTTTCAAAATTAAAATCCAAGGATGGCTAGTTAATTCACTTAGAAATCAAAGAAGGCTGAGATTTACATTTTTATTTGGAAAACTTACATTATCACAACGAAGCCAGATTTCGTTCATGCCTTCTGCAACTGGTATCAGGAGTTTAATGTTAAATTTTTGGCCTGAAATGTTTACATCTGGGGTAACTTCACATCCTGTAATAAAATAATTATTAAAATAGTTGAATTTACTTTTAAGAAACCTCGAAGCAAGTGGCCAGCCCACGGCCAGTGTTAAGAGAACCAGATCCCACGTGGCCAACTGTGTGGTTTGAGTTCTGGACCTTGCTGCTTGAAAAGCACTCCAGGCAGGTGTGCACGTGCACCCCCAATCCCAGCAGGATGGAGAAGGTACTGAGGGGTGACCACGCCCCATTAGGGGCTGCTTTCTTCCTCTCCCTCTCTGACTGGTAAGCACACACACCCTCTGGCAATTTAAAAGTTCTGAACCAATACAAGCAGCTCTCCATTTTGTGGCATCTTTTTTTTTTTGGAGAGGTTTTTGCTATAGGGCGCGTGTGCTCGCCAGACAGACAGAGACAGACAGAGAGACAGAAAAGCGAGAAATCACCCCCAGGGGGGATGGTCACGGCGCAATCACTTCTCCTCCGTTCTCCTCTTGGGATCTTGGGCACACACGCACACGCGCCCAGCGTGAGTTTTAAGCCGCCGGGTCCGGGATGCGAACCGCAGTCGACTACGTGGGAGTCCAGCGACATAGCCATTCCGCTAACTGCTGGTTTCCCATTTTGTGGCATCTTAATGTGATGAATTTTGCCACCACAATTTAGGAATGCATCTACTGTAGAAGGTAACATACCCTTATATATTTTACTTGGGAAGGTGATATGAAACTTTGGTATTCAGAATTTCATTTTATAGTCAAGTCTTTTGGAATACATACATTTATGAGTTATAAGAATCCATGTGATCGGGCCGGCAAATAGTGTGGTGGTTAAGGGCATTGGACTCTCACATGGTTGACTGGTTCAAGGACCTGGTGGCTTGCTTTCTCACTTTCTCTCTCTCTTTCTCACTCTGTCTTCTCTTGTCAAATTAAAATAAGTAAATAAAGTTAAATAAAATAATTCTTAAAAAAAAAAATGAATCCATGTGATCAACACTGTTAAAGCATTAGCTGGAGACTTTACAGGAAAAAAAAACAAAACACTTTAATAAGGGGAGGTTCCTTTGTTTTCCTCTCCAAAAGCAACTTCTATCATGATTTCCTCCTCCTTTGTTTTCTTTTTAAAATATTCACTACAAATAACCTCTTTTATACAAATTTAGAAACAATGAGAAAGTAGTGTGGCAGTTTGTTTAACCTGTAAAGTTAAAGTATGTTTAAGATATACAATCTTCTGTACAAATACCATTAATCTTTGAAGAGGACTTACAGTATATTCTACATAATTAAGCCTTTTTTAAAATGCTAGGAAAGGAGCCAGCAGATGTCATGGTGGTTAAAGCACTGGACTCCAACATGATGGACTGCAGTTTGAGTCCCACACCTGGCAGCTTGAAAAAAATCACATGGGTGCGTGTGTGCCCAAAATATCCAGGAGAAAGGAGAGGAAGGAACTGAGCATTTCCCTGGGGTGGGGGAGTGATTTCTCATGTTTCCTTTCACTTTTTCTTTGCAGTGAGTGCACCTGCCCTATGGTAAACAAAACAAAACAAAAAAACTTAAACAGAAAAAGAAAAAAAAAAAAACAGGAAAATTAAAAGGAGAGAGACAAAGTAGGTAGTAACTCGGGTACTAGTGCAGGGACAAAGGCACTAACTGGACCACATCTCTGAGAACATTTGTTCCATGCCATCTTAGTTACCTACTTCCAAGAGCGACATGCTGACTTGAATGTCACCCACTGACTATACGTCTAAATGTTAAATGCCAAACTCCTGATTCTGAGCACAATCTCTTTGTTTGAGAGACCCTATCCTGTAACCCTTCTATTGAGTTGTCAGAAAAATCATGACATGTTTTTCCATGCAAAATGCATCATGACTTTTCAAAGACCCTACACTTTCTTTCCACAAGCAATATGTTTTTACTTCTCCCCTCTCCCCAGTCTAGCCTGGATTCCATTCACCAGATATCACCTCTCACTCCCGACTCACCCTGCCTTACACCTACTTAGCAACTAGCCAAGGTTCATTCAATCCCACCATTTATCTTTTACTCAACTATACTCAGGCTGCTTAGCACTGCGCATAAAGCAAGGGGCGAGGAAAATACACACACACACAGCTTTCTCATTATCCTCTCTCCAATGAACACACACACACCCTATAGAAGACACACACACACACACACACACATAAAACCAGAGCTTTTTCTTTAGAAATCCATAGATTTCAGCCTTAACTTGGTCTAGTCTGTTTGCAAGTCCCTTTGTGTTTACAACATTTTCAACAATGTCTATTTCAAATCTTTTCAGACACTCTACAATGCCACTCTCTCAGGGGACAACTTCAAACCGTCAAACGTCCCTCAGCTTCCTGCAGTCATGCAAGTTAAACCTGGTGGTCCTTGCTTCCACTCCGTGGGAGGGCAGTGCTGCTCCTAAGGCCTCCCTATCCACGCAGGCCGGGCTTGCTTACTATCCCAGGAGCCTTGCTCCATCACGGACATCCTCTCTCCCCCAGACACTGGATTTCCTTTCTACCGTCGCATTTCTATCAGCGTTTAACTTTCTTCAGCCTTTCCTAGCTTACACCACAAAATTCTCTGCTTTACATCTCCCTTTCCTGTTACTGCCCTCTCTTCTCCTTGTCATAGACGGATTCAATGAAGAGTGGGTCTTTGTTTCCTATTTATTTCTCATTTACTATACTTGGGCTCCACACTCAAAGTCACTGCCTGTACTGAACCTATTCTTATCAAGGTCACTCACTGTCTCCAGATGGCTAAATACTACAAAGGTTTAACAACCTTACTTTCTCTAGCCTGACACTACTGACCACTCCGTCCTGAAAGAACTTCTAGCTTCCATCGTACCTCACTTCCCCGGTCCTTCTACATACTTTCTGGCTGTGTCCTTTGCAAGCTCCTCTTCCTCTCATGTGTCCTGTTCCTCAAACAAGTATTCAGGGTTCTGTTCTAATCCTCTGTCCTATTACAGGTAACCATTCCAATGGCTGCTTCTACCATGGATCCTAGCTGCCACCATAACAGTATCTGTAGCATCTCAGATCCAATGGTCTACAGATTATCTCCAAACAGATATGACAAAGGCATCTCAAATTTAAAATATCTGCCAGTCTGGGGCTCGAACCATGCAGTCAGCTATGTGGGATCCAGCTGCCTTAACCTCTACACTTCCTGCGGGTCCTGTATTTTCTATTCTTAAATTTAGATTTTTTCTTCTGTGTACACAACAGTCATTGTATAGCCAAAAACAAACAAACAAACAAACAAAAGGCACTACACTAACACAGCTTTATAAAAAGCCAGCCCTAGCTGATGATTTTCTCCCTTTATGTGCAATAGCCTCTGTCCGGAAGGAAGGCTCTTTACCAACTCCCCGTCCCTTTACAGATCTCAGTTTCCTTTCTGACATTAACCCAGACATTTCCTCCATGAAGTCTCTCCAGCTTCACAAGAGACTGACATAAACAGCACCTTACCCTCTTGCTCCTCTGACGCTTTCCTCACTCTGACAGGTACTATTATTGCCCAAACTACAATTCTTTATCTTTCCAACATGCTCACAACATCTTGAGGGTAGTTCTTGTGTTCCTAGTATCTAGCACAATCTGCAGCACAGCACTTCAATTTGTATTAGCTGGACTAAATTTTTAGAAATTGGCATTTCGGGGGCCAGCAAGGTGGTGTGGTAGTTAAGGGTGCTGGAACCCCACAGAGCCAACTGTGGTTGAGTCCTGGACCTGGCAGCTTGCTCTCTCACTGCACCCCACTCTGATCAAATTAAAGTTAAATAATTCTTTTTTAAAAAAGTTAATTGGCATTTTGGGTATCTAAGGAGCCTCAGAGAGCATACAGTCCAGCACTTATTCCCCAGAGGAAAACACTGAGGCTCATATAGGCTAATTTTTCAAAACTGCGCTCGTAGCAGAGCAGCATCCAGGCCACTAGTATCACTGTTGTGACCGCAGGAAAAGTGCTCCTTTGAAAGGACTTGGGAGAAGTGGAATGAGAACTGAGAACAGATTACAAATTTGTTACTTCCATGCCAGGTCTTGACTTCTCAGTTACACAGAGACTAGGTTAAGAAAGTCACAGGGACAATGAGAGGGGCCAAAAACCTAGTTAGTCTCTAAATCAAGAGTAGATAATCTGGGCTGACAGGTGGCATGATTAAGGTGCTGGACTCGCATATGGCCAGTCCTGGTTCAAGTCCCAGACTTGGCAGCTTGCCTTCTCACTTTCTCTCTCTCTGGTCAAACTACAGAATAATAATAAATAAAATTAAAAAAGAAAAAAGAGTAGATAATCTGAGTTCCATCAACCCAAATGAAGAAGATCAAAGCCAACTGTGAAGAGAGAAACAAGATGCCATAAGAGATTATGAGAGGAACAAACAATGGTAGTGATCTAAAAGTGAAACGCATGTGACAGAGAGGAAGGCAATGAAACCAGAAGTCCCAGCTGGAATTACTGAATTCCACCACATGGGGAGAACAACCCTCTAGCCAGGATCCAAATTTTCCATTTTCAAGAATGTGTGTAACTGAGGCCAGCCCCATAGTCCAGTGATTCAGGGAGTCACATCCCACACAGCTGATCAAAGTCTGATTCCTGGCCCTGGTGGCATGTGCGCCTGCATTCTGCCAAGCCCCGAAAGAATGAAGGAATGGAGGAGAAAGGACTGTGGTGTGACCATACCCCATGGAGGTGCCTTTTCCCTCTCTCTCTGGTGAGTACACATACCCTCTGGCAATCAAAAAAGGAACAACTAACTGTAAAGTGACAGTTCAGGTAGGTGACTACTAGGCAGAGTTCGTGTATCAGGGTACAGATGTGGACATTCTATTGAAATACACGAAAACAGCCTTGTGTACAATGCACTAAGGAAAGAATACAGATCAGGAAAAACACTTCTGTATCTTGAGTTTTAGGTAAAATTATTTTGGGAGTATTTGTAAAATGAGCCAGGAGCTCCTATCAGTAATTTTTAGTTAAAAGGCATATTACTTTACATGCAATAACATGTACATGCCAAAGAGAAACAGGCTGAGCCACCAGAAATAATTCTCAGAACTACTAGCCTGCCAAGGGCAGTGCAACCTCAGCTATAGTCGGGCAGTTGGGAAACCAGGAGGCTGCCACTGCAGCTGCTGCTCCAGAGCCCAAATACACTTCACTTCTCTCTTAATTCTGTGTCTCCAATCCCTTAACTCAGCTCAGAACTCAAGTGTTGCATGAATGCATGCATCTGACTAGAATCTACGTATCACTGGAAATGAGTCTGGAAAATGTACACTAGTTTTCTAGCCTATGTGTATAGGGAAGCACCAGTAAGAGCAGTGTGGAACAGACAAGGGGAGCCAAGTCATTGTGTCCTTCACCAGGCACGCCAGTGCAAGGGTGCAGTAAGTGCTAGGTGGCTCTCAGAGCATACAACTTCCTAGAGGAAGCCGTATGTAAACAGGAAGTAAGCAGGTCATTTCAGTGAGTAATAGCACCACAGTGAGAGGCTCATAGACAATCTACAAGACCAGGGAAAGGCTCCGCAAAGAAATCACTCTGAGCAGAAGCAGTATGTCTTCCACTTGCATAAGAGTAAGACCAACCTGGGAACCAGCAGTTAGCGTAATGGCTATGTCGGTGGACTCCCATGTAGTCGACCGCGGTTCGCATCCTGGACCCAGTGGCTTAAAACACACCAGGCATGTGTGTGTGCGTGCATGCCCAAGATCCTGAGAGGAGAATGGAGGAGAAGGGATTACAGCGTGGCCATCCCCCCTGGGGGGTGATTTCTTGCTTTCTTTCTCTCTGTCTCTCTCTGCCTGTCTGGTGAGTGCACATGCCCTATGGCAAAAACCTCTCCAAAAAAAAAAAGAAAGAGTAAGACCAACCTGGAAGGGAAATTCACCTCCTGCCTCAACCAGTGCATCAGTCAGATAAAAAAGGGGAAGGAGCAGTGTGAAGAATCAATACAAGTCACCAAAATGGGAAACAGAGCTGTAGCTCCATCAACCCACATGAAAAAGATCAAAGCGAATGGATGGGCCCTCAACCAACCTTAGCCCAGGCTGCAGGGAGCAAGCCTTCCAAAGTTACAAGGGAAAGGAAACCTGTGCCTCAAACAGCAGCCCCTCGTTCTGAGAAAACTCTGGCTTTGAAGAGACAAGAGGACACCAATGGGACTCAAGCTGTCAGCTAGAAACCTGAGAAAGACATCCTAGAGTTGCCTCAGGAGCAAGGCTGAGAGCAGAATGAAGATGACAAAACCAGGGCTGGCCCTGTATCATGGCAGTTAAGGGAGCTGGATCCCACATGGCTGACTACGGTTTGGATCCTGCCCCGGGGGCTTGAAAAGCACATTGGGTAGGGGTGTGTGCTTTAAGACAGAATAGACAACATGCCAAACCCCAATGGGATGGAAAGATGGAGGGAAAAGGACTGTGGCATGACCATATCCTACCGGGGAGTGCTTTCTCTCTGGCAATACAAAAGAAGACAAAACTGCGTAGGAAGGAGATGTTGGGAAAAGGGGAGAAGAGCTGGACTACACCTGGAAGGAGCCAGCCACCCACCCCTACTGCTGAGCCTGAAAAACCAGGAGGCTAACAACCCTGCACAGGGCGAGACCGCCATCAGGGAAGGTGAGGAGGAGATGCTGATGAGGAAGGAACAAACCAGCAAAGCCTGGGCTGAGTATAACATGGTTGAAAATAAGACAATCTGAAGCAGAGGAGAAGGTGACCCCTGCAGAATGAGGAATATCTGAATGTCCTTGATGCTGAAGATCAGAAGAGACACTATAAATGTACTTGACAAGTAAAAAAAACCAGAATCTTACATTTTAAAATCAGGTCTACACAAGGATATTATAATAAAATATTTATGTGGAATTGAATACTCATGAACAATAGTAAATATAAAAAGTATCAAAAAAAAAAAAAAAACTGCTAAAAAAAACCCTTTACCCCCAACAGAGTGAGGTTTACTGATTATCAGGCGAACAGCTAGTCCACCACCAACATCAGTCACGTAAGGCTTACCTCTGAGGTTCATCTGATGAGCTGGTGTGCCGCTGGCTTCTTCTCTGCTCTTATAACAAGAAATAGATGTATCTTTGAAGGTGCACCAATATTGCTTGTAACCTTTCAGAGTCAGCTTTTTTGGTCTATGTTTCCAAAGAGAATTAAGAGAGAAACACACTTTGAAGTAACTTTATCAATGCTATGATTTAGTAGCACTTTCATGTTAAGTCTGAGGGCCAGGTTTTGCACATGCTGAAATCAGTTTCCTTTGGCCAGCGGTTTACAGTCAATGTTGCTGTTATTGGATGTGCCCCTCCTCCCTTCTCAACCTACTCAGGAAGACGACATACATAGCCAGTGGGCAGAGAAGGGGCCCACGTTCCTGGATGTCTCAGTTACAGCCATGACTAGCAGGTCACATGGGAAGAATAGAAAAAAAGGGTAATGTTGGTAACTGGAAGGTCCATGGTAGGTAACAAACTTGAAGAGAGAAACTTATCTGGCATGACTGGAAGTGAGGGAAGTAGTTATCATTCTTGGGGATATATTTTAATGGTGATGTTTAACTTAACTGCTCCAATGTCAACCACAAAAGATGATGGAACAGTAATGAGGGAGGAGTGGACGAGGAAGGTATAGGTAGAAATCTGAGAATGGTGTGTTAATGGCGGGAGGAGGTTTGCAGTGGCATCTAAAATGTTACTCCTATCTCGGAAGTGCTATATATTTTGAGCTGTTATATGTCCAGCTAGAGTAAATGGTTTATTGTACAATAGTTTAATATCTTATACAGTAAAAAAAGAAAAATGTATAGTCCACATCATCCCCTTTCCTTTCTCATACTCTACCTTCATTCTAAGATCTTTTGATTCTGTGAAATATTCTTAAACTAATTGTTTAAATATCTAGATATACTATAATCTTTATAAAATGTTTCATAAACAAATGAAAAGAATCTAATTGTTCTGGGGCTCTAAAAACAAAAAACACGTGTAGTAATAGTTCATTGTTTACTACTTTCACCTGAGGCCCAGAAGGGTTATGCTACTGTACTACCCGGTTTCAGCTTCAACAGTAATGCTTTTGGTTTTATAAGCTTTTCCTTTCTCAAAAAAAGAAAAATGTTTATCAATTAAAATAATCAATACTTTTGATTTTAATCTGATAAAAGGTTACCTCCCCTCATAACTTAATGTTCATCTAATTGCCAAATCCCTTCACAGATGAATTTGCCAAACTTACAATTTTTTTTTTTTGGAGAGATTTTTGCTATAGGGTGCATGCATTCGCCAGAAAGACAGACATAGAGAGAGAAAGCCAAGACATCACTCCTTCATGCTGCAATCCCTTCTCCTTCATTCTCCTCTCGGGATCTTGGGCACGCATGCACACGCGCCCTGCGTGAATTTAAGCCCACAAAGTCCAGGACTCGAACCACGGTCAGTTATATGGGAGTCCGGTGACATAGCCATTATGCTAACTGCTGGTCCCACTTACAATTTTCAATAATGCAAACATAACTATAAAACTGATGCTTATTAATATATGGAATTCCTCCCCTTTTTGTACTTACTTGAAAACTTTAATATAGTCAGCAAGTTCAGGAATGGATGTAATGTCACCCTAGGGAGAAAGTGAAATCATTTTAAAATTATTTTTTTGAAACGTGAGAAATATTTTAACTTCTGGATCTGATATCAAGAACCAGCTTATTTAACAAAGAGAATTACAATAAATATAGATTATAAAGATTTACAAGATATAATCACACTATATGGTCAGATGGATCATACATAGTGTCCTGGTACAAAGGCATCTCCAAACAGCATGAAGTTGATAGAAATCTTATCAAAATGGCAATTCAACAACCCACAAGAATATATTATTTCTAATATAGTTGAAACTGGGACTGCATACAAAAATTTCATAAAGCATAACTGCCCTGACGTGTTGCTTGAGGAATAACTAATTCCTAAAGCTTTAGACTCAAATTTAGGACAGTGTTTAAATACTGAGGGTTTTTTTTTTTTTTTTAATATTCTTTTGTAGTATTTCAGATGTGCAGGTCACGGTTGGTACCATAATTTGAGTCTAAGTTCTTTTTGTCCTTCACACAAAGAATCAGGAGTGCCCTCTCTACTCTGTTGTAAGCACTAGAGATTATTGCTTTTTAAAAACTTCCCTAAAAGTTCCTGAAAAATCAACTTCTGACTTCTCTAAAGCACTGATTTCTCTCCACCTTCCCAAATACTTCGTGTGAATCTTGATCCACAAAAAGATAATAAGCATCAATTCAAGCTAAATGTGCAGGTTAAAGATTCACCCTACCAAAATTGTTGATGTTTTTCCCCCTTCCAAAGTAATCTCCAGGTCTGAAAGGGCAGCATCGACTTCATCAACTTCTTTGTCACTGTTGTTCAAGTGATTCTCTGATGTCATGATCGACAGCTTGTTGATATGATACTGAAACCGAAAATGGTATTTTATTATTAAAATGACTGCTATACTATGAAGCTTTTAAATAAAAATTACCATCTCATTTTATATTATATGCTTTCCATCATCTAATTTGAAAAGTTAGAAGTATTCAGGAAGTAGAACAAATAGAAGATAAATGGACTAACATCTGAAATCAATATCCTAATCTTACTAAGAGAAACTTACTCAAAAAAAGTCAAGTCTTTGGACATATACAGATGAATTCATGGAGAGGAGGAGAGTTGGACTTAAAGGGGTAACAGGTCCTCCACTAAACTCCACATGAAAAGAAATAGATTTTTTCCCCTATGTATCTAGAACAAGGCTTGGAATCAGTGAATGAATGTATGGAGTTGTAGTACTACCGACTGGGAGGACAGTTATTACCATTACATCAAAAGCTAAAACTCTACTTCCCCCTCCCTCCACCCTCAATTCAGTGTTCTGTATTTTCAGTTACATAAGAATCAGAGATTATGTATATATCTGAGTACACACACACATGTACGTGTGTGTGCGCGTGCAGTGAGAGAGAAGTGCCCTTGACAGAGTCTCCTCATGCTGTGGTCTTCTTCCCCAACGCTTCAGCTCTGCAGGATCCTAGGCACCCTAAGCGTTTTCAGCCCAACCTGGAGCTCCAAGGCCACAGTCTGCCAACCGGCTTCCAGTCTTGCAAGGCACTATGATACTGCTGTGCCTACTCGCTGACTTTTTTTTTAACGGCCAAGGGATGCAGTACTTGCCAGAGGGAGGGAAGGAGACCCTGTGCTTCATAGGCTGGGTGCAGTGGCATGTGCTTCTAATTTCAGTGACTCAGGGAGGCTGAGGCAGAAGATCATGACCTTGAGGTTGGCCTGGGCAACACAAAAACACTATCTAAAAGCATCCGTAGTCCCAGCTACTCAGGAGGTTGAGGCAAGAGGGCTGTGACATGGAGGGATTCTACCTTTTTTGGGGGAGAGGTTTTTGCTATAGGGCACATGCGCTCACCAGAGACAGAAAGTGAGAAATCACTCCCCAGTGGGGATGGCCACATCACAATCCCTTCTCGTCCATTCTCCTCTTGGGATTCTTAGCATGCATGCACATGCGCCCAGTGTGAGTTTAAGCTACCAGGTCTAGGACTTGAACCACGGTCGACTACATGGGTGTTGGGCAACATAGCTATTACGCTAACTACTGGTCCCATACTTTTTTTTTTTTTTTTAAAAGAGATTTTTGGTGTAGAGTATATGTGCTCACCAGAGCGACAAGAGATATGGGAGGCGAGAAATACCACCCTCCCCAGGGGGAACAGTCATACAGCAATCCCTTCTACTCTCCTCTTGGGAATTTGGGCAAACACACGCACAGTATGAGTTTCAAGCTGCTGGGTCCGGGACTCGAACAGTGGTCAGCCATGTGGGGGTCCAGCGATGTAACCATTATGCCATCTGCTGGTCCCAAGGGAGTCTATCTTAAAAACAAACTAAAACAAACCAAATAAAAACAAATTCCTAGATTTATCTCAAAAAATCAGTTTCTGCAAATCTGGGGTCTAACCTAGAATCTGCATTTTTACGAAGTGCTTTAGGTGATTCTGATGCAAAAGATCTGTGTGAGTCATACTGGAAAAATCTTGACTGTCGTAAAATCCAGATTTGCTTTTGATGTGTATGGGATATCTGTTAAATATTATATACTTAGATCTAAATACTTTAAAACCAGTGTTACTATTTTTTAAATCCACAGCTTATTTTGAATTATCTTGTTTCTTTTTCCTGATGTAAATTAATTTTTCACAAGGATCCAGGTGCCCCAAGGAGAGGATAATTCTGAGTGGCTGTGTATGAAATTAACAACAACAACAACAACAACAACAACAAAACACTAGGCCTAACCATATTTTCAGAGTTCTCTCCTGTGACCTTTGGGTCAAATCTCTGAGGCTTGTAGTAACTCAGGGAATCTATACTCCAAAACTGTCTCATTGAATCTAGACTGTAAAATAGAACCAGCAGGGTGGTTTGGGACCATTCAGTTTCCATGAAGGAAGATCCATTATCTTTGAGGTCTTTCTATGATACTGATATGAAGTATCTATGTTAGGGAGTAGGTGCAGAACAATGTCATTTCAATGAAAACACAACCGTGTTGTACATTCAACAGCAGAGTTTTTATTAGTTTTTTTCTTTTGTTGTTGTTTTTAGTGCTAGAGGATGTGTGCACTTGCCGGAGAGGGAGTGGGAGAAGGTGACCTCCAATAGGGTATGGTCATGTTGGAATCCCTTCTCTACTTCATCCATCAGGATTCTGGGCGTGTGCACCCATGTGCTTGGCATCTTTTTCAAGCTGCAGAGATGTGAACCACAGTTGGCCATGTGGAGTCCAGCTCCCTCGGCCACTAAGTCATAAGGCCTGTCCTACTAAAACATTTTTAAGTGACCCAGCCACAGTGGTACACAGGTAGCCCCACTGCTTGGGAGGCCAACATCCACATGGGAGTCACAATACCAGTTCCTAAGTCAACCTGAATATGGCAGGAATGGTTGTGTGTGCCAATAACCCTAGCTAATTGGGAGCTGAGCAAGAAGACTGCAACACGGTGAGACCCTGTCAAAAATACCCATCTCTACTGTACTGAACTGCAGTGATGACTAGAGGTTTGGATATCAGTCCAGTCTTCCTATCAGGCAAGCATGCATGCCCAAGACCCTGAAAGCTGGGGGAAAGGTATGAGAAGACCCTGTCAAAAATTTCTCCCCTGGAACAAGCAGATGGCGTAATGGCTACATTGCTGGACTCCCATGTAGTCAACCACAGTTTGAGTCCTGGACCCGGTGGCTTAAACTCATGCTGGGTGCATGTGCAGGCATGCCTAAGATCCCGAGAGGAGAATGGAGAAGAGATTGCAGCATGGCCATTCCCCCCCCGGGGGGTGATTTCTCGCTTTCTGTCTCTTTCTGGCAAGTGCACACACCCTGTAGCAAAAACAAACAAACAAACAAACAAAAAAACATTCAAAACAAAAAAAAAAGTCTCCTTCCAACGCTGGCAACATTCTGCATCATGAAGGAAATATCAATAAATAAAAAACAAGAACAAACTATCTTGTCTCTCTACTTCTAATAAGGGGTGCCATGAGAATTTTACATGCACCTGTTAATTTAAAACAAAATAATAAACATGCATTATTTTGATAAGAGATAGAACACTAGGTAATAAAATCAGTGGCCTTTCACATATGTATACATACATATATATATATATATATTTTACCCACTTTCTGTCATTGACAAAACTTTCCTAGAAAACTATGAGCCAATATTCAAAGTGAGAAAGGTGTAGGTAGAAAGCTATAACCAAGTGAGGAACTCCCAAATAAACGGCTCCAGAATTTAATTCAAGAAATCCTCTGGTCTGAATCATCTAAAACACAATACAGGATTTTTAACTAGTTGATTAAGCAAGAAAATAACAGCCCTCTTGTAAACAAGGATGGTCCCTTGTCTCTGCCCCTTTTGACTCTCTTATTTACTAAGGAGAGATTACTTATTGCTGCCCTCTAACAGCAAAACTGTTCTGGGCACATAAAAGCATTTGGAAGACAGAGTATTTCTGTTTATGTTCACAGGGAAAAAATAAAATCACTTTTATACTAATAGTGAATTCTCCATAAATGAATGTCAACTTCATTTCTTGTACTCATATAAAGGACAACTTTTATCAAGACTTAGGGTGAAACCAGAATTTCCCCTATCTCAGGATACTCAGCATAGCCTTACTCAGACACCTGAAATATAAGGACAAATTCATCTGGTGGTCACTGGACCTCATGTCTCTGGAATACTGATTTATGTATGCCACCCTAAAGCTACTTCACTAAAAGGTGGATTGGTAAATGAATAGATAATTTTTTAATTAGTCCCATTATAATTCTGAAGCAAGAACTATATGTGGAAAAACATTGGTTTAACCTAAGAAAAATGTTCACTATCTACTTAAGAATTCTCACTTTCAGGGACCAGCAGCTGGCGTAATGGCTATGCCGCTGAACTCTCATGTAGTTGAGTTGACCGTGGTTCAAGTCCTGGACCTGGCATCTTAAGCTCACACCAGGTGTGTGTGCATGTATGCCCAGGATCCTGAGAGGAGAATGGAGAAGGGATTGTGGCGTGGCCAATCTCTCCTGAGTGTGATTTCTCGCTTTCTGTCTCTCTGTCTCTGTCTTTCTGGCAAGTGCACATGCCCTACAGCAAAAACCTCTCAAAAAAAAAAAATCTCACTTTTTAAATATATTTGGTATTTGTTGGGGCTGGCAGTGGGTAGTGGTTAAGAGCACTGAACTCCCACATGGCCTACTGTGGTTTGAGTACAGGACCTGGTAGCTTTTTCTTTTCCCCTCCCTCTCTGGTCAAATTAAAATGAAGTTAAATAATTCTATTAATAAAAAAAATCTTTAGTTTCACTACTCCCTTAAGACCTTATTACCTGGGACTGACAGGGTGGCATGGTGGTTAAGGGTGCTGGACACTCCCACATAGCCAACCATGGTTTGAGTCCCAGACCTGGTAGCTCTTGCTTTCTCATTTTCTCTTCCTCTCTCTGTCCCTCTCTGGTCAAATTAAAACAAATAAATATATAAATAAATAAAGTTAAGGGATTTTTTTTTTTGAGAGGTTTTAGCTATAGGGTGCGTGTGCTCGCCAGAAAGACAGAGAGAGACAGAGAGATAGAAAGCGAGAAATCACCACCCAGGGGGGATGGCCACGCCTCAATCCCTTCTCCTCCATTCTCCTCTGGGATCTTGGGCACGCACGCACACGCGCCCGGCCTGAGTTCTAAGCCACCGGGTCCGGGACGCGAACCGCGGTCGACTACGTGGGAGTCCAGTGACATAGTCATTACGCTAACTGCTGGTCCCGTAAGAATTATTTTATTTACCACCTAAAAAGGTGTAATTTCTTTCATAGCCCATTTTTACAATGTCTTATCATCTTCAGCTGTTTATGAAATTATGCAGGTAAGCTTCTGTTCAGAAATATGATTTATAAAACATTTAGTTACTAAATGGTATATGTGTGTGGGGGGGAGAGAAAGAGAGAACAAGAATTTCCCAGTAGGGCATTGTCATGCCACAATCTTCTCTCCTCCATCAGGATTCTGCGTGTGCACACATGCATCAGTGTGTTTCTCAAGCCACCAGGACCTGGGTCAGCTATGTAGGATGTAGCTCCCAATGCATTGCACTTAACTACTGTGTTACAAGGAAGACTAAATCTGATTTTTTTTTTTTTTCTTGGAGAGGTTTTTACTGTAGGGCAACGTGTGCTTGCCAGAATGACAGAGATAGAGAGACAGAAAGCAAGAAATCATCCCCCCAGGGTGTATAGCCATGTTGCAATCCCTGCTCCTCCATTCTCTTCTCAGGATCTTGAGCATGCATGCACACGCACCTGGCATTGAGTTTAAGCTGCTGGGTCCAGGACTGGAACCGTGGTTGACTACATGGGAGTCCAGCAACATAGCCATTACACCCACTGCTGTTTTCCCTCAACAAAACCAAATTTAAGGGACCAGCAGTTAGCATAATGGCTATGTCGCTGGACTTCCATATAGTTGATAGCGGTTCGCGTCCCGGACTCGGTGGCTTAAAACTCACACCGGGCACGTGTGCGTGCGTGCGTGCCCAGGATCCAGGGATTGCGGTGTGGCCACCCCCCGGGGGGTGATTTCTCGCTTTCTGTCTCTGTCTGTCTGGCGAGCGCACACGCCCTATGGCAAAAACCTCTCCAAAAACAAACAAACAAACAAACAAAAAAAACAAAATTTAACTCAATTCGTGTATTTATTTTCCTAAGTGACGATTCACTTGTACACAGCCAAAAATAAATACTATTTATCAAATGCTATTGGAATTAATATGCTACTTTACTATTTAAAAAAACGACTCCCTTCCCATCCTAACAAATCCCATTTACCAAATCTTCCCTTTACCTGCAAAGCCGCAAACATCATCATTTCTTCTTCCGTGCATTCAATTTCTTCTAGGAGAATAGCCCATTTGGCCTGCTCATAAAGCTGATTGATCCTAATTGCATCATACTGCAGAAAAAAAAATTCTTAATATGTTACCTTTAACATTTAAAACATTTTGAAAACTGAGTATTTATTTTTAAAACTTAACTGGAAAATTTTAATATATAATTTCTTCCTGGGATTTTTTTATTCACTATCAAATGCTCAATTATAAGCAAGATATTTATAGGATTAGATATACCTATATATATCCACTTCTAATTTTCTATTTAAAATGACATTAAAATATAACAGAAGACAGTATTAAAAATAAATTCTAAATGTTATTTTCCAGGAAAATATGCCATGTATTATAATCTTTTATGATAAAGGAATCTAACTTGGAGACATTAAAGTAAAGAAAGGTACTGACAGTAAATGATTTTGGAAATGCTCAGTGTGGAGAATACCCAGTGGCAGTTCCTTGGAGACAGCACTAATTGTATTCAAAATAGAGGGTACATACATACTTGTAGAAAATATTTATTTATATGCTATTGAATCACACTTTTAATAACATTGGTAGTTCTACAGTAACATCTTAGCTATATTATCTTTGAATGTTAGTAAAATATTCTCCCTCCCCCCACACATGCAACTATTCCTGGAATAGCTTTGGTTTTACTCAATAATGATATACCCTGACAACGAAATTATTTTAATGTCGTATTATATATATTTTAATATTGTATAAATGATTATTCAAAGAAACAATAAAAAGATGATCAATATATATTAAAATCCAGACCATAAACATGAAAAGAATAAAAACGTAGCCACAAGGTTCTTCCACAGGATGATAAAGAAATATCCAAACCTCTGTGCCAAGTATTTTGTCTGTGTGTTTGCTGGGGGAGGAAGGGTATCAAGATCTTCATACCAAAGTTAAATCTCACCAAAAAAGCAAGGGACTAATAGCAGCAGAGCTGATACCTAGCGTACTAAAATAGGTATGTGGCTACTGATACATAGGCTTTTTACAAACGTGGGCTGGCTTTATTGTGCAGTGATGATGTGCTACTGAAAAGAAGCCGGGGTCCCCCATGCTGACTGTGCTTCAAATGCTCAGGTGGCTGGCTGGCCTGAGACATGCTGGGCATGTACACAGATGCCAAGAGCCGATAGGCTGGAGGAATGGAGGAAGAGGATCGAGGCATGACCAGCCCCTGTGGAGAGTGCTGCTTTCTCTGTCACATGCACATACTCTCTCTATCATGAGTAACAAAAAAGAGGGATATTAAACATCAAATTTTTAAAAAATGTATGCAATGGAAAAAAAATGTATTGAAGCAGTATCTTTCAGTATATAATTAGTAATCTAAATGCACCTAAAAAGGTAAACCTTTCAGAACAGCTTTTCTTTAAAATAGAAAAGATGTTTAAAAGAAAAATTTTACCTATTCTGTAGTAACTTTAAAATACATGGGAACCAACAGCCTAATGGCTATGCCGCTGGACTCCCACGTAGTCGACTGCGGTTCACTTCCTGGACCCGGTGGCTTAAAACTCACGCTGGGTGCGTGTGCGTGCGTGCCCGCCCAAGATACCGAGAGGAGAATGGAGGAGAAGGGATTGCGGCGTGACCATCCCCCCTGGGGGGTGATTTCTCGCTTTCTATCTCTCTGTCTGGCGAGCGCACGCGCCCTATAGCGAAAAACAAACAAACAAACAAAAAAACAACCAAAAATTGTATTAGGAAAAAGGTTTAGTTATGCTTCCAATTTAGTAAAAACAGATTTAAGTTCTGCCTAAAGTGTTGGGTTATAAATATTATTCAAGCCTTGTTACAGACTCAGGGTTCCTTACCCCATCGACTTCCAAAAAACTTCTAAATGAATAGAAATCAAACAAAAAGAAGAAATTAAAAGAAAAGAGATTCCTTTAAACCCTTGGTACCTTTGGATTCAAATCAAAAAAGCTGTAATACTTGAATCGGAGCAGCAAGGCCTCATTCTCCTTCACATCTTGCTCCATGAGAGATCTTGAGGAATCAAGCCATCTGGATTAACAAGAGCAGAGGAACAAAGACAGATAGAATTAATAAAATATTTCAGTCACTACCCAGATAAAGAAATTCTTCGGTTGTACTGTATCTTGAAACTTACCCTTGATTGATCTTTGCTTTATCAAGAAGAGCTTGAGGCTTGAACATTTTTGCCAAGATTTCTGGTGATGTGATTGGTTGACTGACAGCAAGTATACCAGGATTGCCTTCGGACAGAGCACTGTCACCAAACCAAGCAGACGTTGGTGACAAGGGACTTCCATCATGAGCATCATAAGTAGGGGTCATTGTTTTACTATAAAGTCCTGGGCTTGAGTATATACTTCCTAATAAGTAACATAAAAAACAAGTTTTAAGTACAAAGTACAGAACCTTAGGTTTCAAAACAGCATACATTATTATGATATAAAGTACACTGAAACACAAGCTTCATTTGGAAGAAAAGCTTAGTATATTACATCACCTGTCTTGAAAACATGAAATTAACTCTGCTTAACATTAGAACACATAATGACAAAGTCACAAGAACGTACTAAGTTGGGGGAATTCCTGGGCAGAAAAAAACTAGTTCAAGAGAATTAGAAAATAAAGATATAGCTGAAGCAGACAGACCAACAACTTTTGTGTTTAATTGTGGCAAGGCTCACCTTTCAGAGGGCCAATGTAAAGAACATCAGTGCCTATAGGAAAGGAAAGAAAGGAATTCAGAAGATAAAGGAAAGACAACAGAGGACAGAAACAAAAGAATGAAAGTGAAAAGAAAATGGGAAACAGAAAAAAAAGGACTTTTTAAAATTGTGAATTATAAACTGAAGTATTTTATTTCAAATAGACTCAAGAGTGAAGAATCTCAGAAGCTACAATCTAACAAATTTTTGGTCTAATTCAAAAGAATGAAGTTACACTCTAGGTCAAGCATATAGTGACAAACATGTCCATAATATTCATCACCAACTGAAATCCAAACCATGTTTTAAGATAGCTAAATATAATGGAATAAATCCACATTAAGAGAATTAATTCTATGTTAATGTTTACTCAGTGAATAGCTAAATAGCTAAACAGATTTATAAATAAAGTATTACTGCAAAAAGGCAGATAAATTTTGACCTAGAAAGAGGCTATGCACACTGGTATTCACTCACTGTTTCTGGGCAACAAAACTCCTCCAGCTTCCCAAATTCTCTCTTAAGATGTACTAAAAAGGTTTTTGTTTTCACCCACTTGTAGGACCTAATTGAGATGATGAGAGACTCTTCTGATCGCCACAACACACGCAGACTATACCATTAAAGTGTCATAAGGAATTTTTCAAATTAAAAAAAAAAATCTTACCAGAGGGCATGTATGCTCACCAGAGATAAACAGATGAAAAGAGAAAGAGCAGAAGGGGGAGAAAGCACTTCCCAGTGGGGCATGGTCACACCACAATCCCTCCTCTGTTTCTCCATCCTACCTGGGATTTGGGGCATACACTCAAACACAGAGGTGTGTTTTTCAACCTGCTGGGTCTGGGACTTTAACCACACAGTTGGCCATATGAGATCTAGCTCCCTTCACTTCTAGGAATTTAAGTTTAAAATGATTTTCTTTTAAAAGATGAACATGGCTAAAAAAAATTAAATAAGACATAGGTGTCTCTGATCACTGACCCATTTGTGAAAATTAAGTGTCTCTGTGTGTGCATAAAAGTTTAAGGGGCGGAGGAGGGAAGGTGCCTGGTGTGGTACAGTGGTAGGAGCTCTAGCTTTAGAACAAGACAAACCTTAGCTCAAGACTTAGCTCTACCATTTACTAGGCATTTACTCCCAGGCAAGTGACTTAGCCAAGCTTCTTCTTCTCATTCTTACCTATGTTTTAGAACTGTTTGAAGATTAAGTATAATAGTACATGTAGCGTTGGGAATAAATGTTCAATAAATGTGGTTCTTAGTAACTTTTTAATGAAAACATTGGTTTTCCTTTCTAAAAAGGATTCTTTATAAAGAAAACAGTTGAGAAGTATCCTCTAGGGCTTTTGTGTAAGAGTCAAGACTCTGAGAGGAAAGAACTGTAGAATGATACAAATACCAGGAATAAGCAGCAGCTGCAGCCTGGGGACAAGGTGACTGGTGCTAGTAAGAACAGGGAGCCCTCACCTGGGCAGGATAATTGCAGAGAATGCTGTTTTCCTGAGTATAAGCCAGACAGAAATTAGACAATTTAGGAACAGCACAAAGATAGAACCACGAAAGTGTAAGTTAGTGTGCAAAGTAAAAGTTGATTAGCTTCTGAAGATAATGCATAAAGCAAAACAGGATATAATAAAAACTGTCCTTGAAATCTCTCTGAAATAGCCACAATGTACACAGTACTATCTTTGAGCACAAGATAAAATACAGCAGGGGCTCTTTTAACCATTTAACAGAGTTAGCTGTTGATCTATTCAATATAGGCCGAGTAAGACCCCAATTGAAATGTGCACCTGGTAAACGACTCTGTAGGCCCACCATATTATTTATGCCAGTTTTATCTGTTACAGTAATTGAAGTGAAGCTGGAAAACATGAATGCAGAATCAAAGAGGTGTAGATCCTACGGTAACTAAAGTTAATGTTCTGGAAACTTGATAAAAGAGTGGCTGTAACAACTTGCTGACTTAGTTGAGAGCCAGCCATTATGAAAGGTTGGAAAGGAAACAAGATTAAAAAGTCTAGATTTTAGATTTTGCACTCAGATTGTTTTGCAAAGACTAATTTTTCACTCAACTTTAAAGATATTAAAGATACCGATCTAGAAATAAACATGTACTACAAATGCAATTTATGTGAAAAAGAAAAAAAGACCAGCATACTCATAACCAAGAGAGGACATTAGCCCTATCAAAAATAAATAAATAAAATAAAAAAGAGCTGACAGAGAAATGTATATTTGCAATTTTAAGATAAACTGTTTTAAGATAGGAACTTATTTTGTATCTCCTTTAACTGACTCTAAAAATAAAATACAAAGCCGGGGCCAGCAGGCGGCATTGTGGTTAAGGCGCTGGACCCCATGGTCAACCACAGTTTGAGTCTTGGACCTGGTGATTTGAAACTCACGCAGGGCCTGTGTATGTATGCACATGTCCAAAAGCCTAGAGGAGAATGGAGAAGGGATTATGGTGTGGCCATACCCACTGAGGGGCGGGGGAGTGATTTCTCACTTTCTCTCTCTGTCTCCAGCAAGGGCACAGGCCAAACAGCAAAATCTCTCTTAAAAAGCAAAACAACAGGGACCAGCAGTTAGTGTAATGGCTATGTCACTGGACTCCCACATAGTAAACCATGGTTCAAGTCCTGGACCCAGTGGCTTAAACTCATGCCGGGCGCATGTGCGTGCCTACCCAAGACCCCGAGAGGAGAAAGAAGGAGAAGGGATTGTGGCGTGGCCACCCCCCCTGGGGGGTGATTTCTTGCTTTCTGTCTCTCTCTTTCTGCCAAGTACACGTGCCCTATAGCAAAAACCTCTCCAAAAAAAGAAAAACAACAACAACAACAAATCCAATATCTAGCACCCTTTCAGGTTGGGGATAACGGGATTCTATATATCTTTAGACAACAGAATTATAATACACGTTTATACCATGATGCTCGCAATTCAAGAAGCATGGGGGTGGGGAAGTGGCGTGGTTGAGGAGCTGGACTCCCACATGGCTGAAGTCCTGGAACCAGCAGCTTGCTTTATTTTTTTTCTCTCTGATCAAATTAAAATAATAATGAATAAAATTAAATAAATGTTTTACAGTTTAAAAAGGAAGCATGTGGGAACTATGGGAAACTGAGTGTATCCTCGCTGGTAAAATGATACAGAGTCTATCTAGGCCTTACTGCAACTCTGCAGAGCAGAAATACATGTAAAGTACTGAGCAGTATCTGACATACATATGGACCGTGTGCTATTATCAGGGGGACACAAGCAACTGGTCTTATTTTTCAGTACTGTATTTGGTCCAGTAACTTACTAATGTGCTAACAAATCACAGAAGCAGGCATATTAGATATTTAATATTTCCTTTAAAAATTCAAGGTTCTGACCAGCAGGTGGTATGGTAGTTGAGGTACTGGAATCCCACATGGCCGACTATGGTTTGAGTACCGGACCTGGCAGCTTGCTCTCTCTCTTTCCCCTCTCTATTTGGTAAGCACACATGCCCTACAGCAAATTAATAACAAAATTGATAAATAATTATTACAAAAAAATTCACAGTTTAAGTCCTGGACCCAGCAGTTTGAAATTCATGCCAGGGGGCCAGCAGATGGTGTAATGGTTACATCACTGGACTCCCACGTGGTTGACTGCAGTTCGAGTCCTAGACCTGGCAACTTAAAACTCATGGCAGGCATGTGTGCATACATGCCCAAAATCCCTAGAGAAGACAGGAGGAGAAGGGATTGCTGCATGGCCATCCCCCCAGGGGGTGATTTCTCACTGTCTCTCCAGTAAGCGCATGTGCTCTATGGCAAAAATCTCTCTTAGAAAAGAAACTCATGCAAGGCGAGTGCATTAGTGCCTAAAACCCCTATATAAGAATGAAGAAGGGATTGCAGCAGGTCACCCTCACTGTGGGGTGATTTCTTAATTTCTCTCTGTCTCTGTGTCTCCAGCAAATACACATGCACTATAGCAAGAATCTCTCTTTAAAAAATAAAATAATTAAACATTTTTTCTTTTAAAGGATTTTGCTATATAGGGCACATACACTAGCCAGAGAGAGACAGAGAAAGGGAAAGTGATAAATCATTCTTCAGGGAGGATGGTCATGATGCAGTCCCTTCTCCTCCATTCTCTAGGGATTTTGAGCACACATGCCTGGAGTGATTTTCAAGCTACTGGATCAGGGACTCAAACCATGACCCACCATGTGGGAGTCAAACACACCTTAACCATCACTTTACTTGCTGGCCCCAATTACATGTTACTCTTTACATGTGTATGGCACTCAGACACTTCCTCCATATAACATGATCTTGGTGTACTTTCTTAGCATGTCAAATGGACTTACTGAAACACTCAAGTTTTTCTTTTTTTAAATTCAAGTGGTTAGGTTTAGACACCAAAACTTATCTTTTAATTCTCTCACTTAAAACACAGTAACATTGAGGGACCAGCAGATGACATAATGTTTACATTGCCAGACCCCATGTAGTTAACCACTTAAAACTCACGCCAGGCGCGTGTGTGCATGCCAAAATCTCGAGAGGAGACTAGAGAAGGGATTGCGGTGTGGCCATCCCCTGGGGGGTGATTTCTCACTTTCTGTGTACCTGTCTCTCTCTGTCTCTCCAAAGAGCGCAAGCGCCCATAGCAAAAATCTCTCTTATACACACACACACACACACACACAGTAACTTTGGGGCCAGCAGGTGACGGGGTGGTTTAGGCACTGGATTTCCATATGGCTTGACTGCAGTTTCACCCCCAGGCTGGCAGTCTGCTTTCTCACTTTCCCTTTCTCTCTCTTTCTGGTGAGCACATATGCCCTAAAGCAAATTTTAAAAAGATAATTATAAAGTTTTAAAATGAAATATTTTTTTAAATAATTACTTTATTTAACTTTAATTATTTACTTAAGTTTGACCAAAGAGGGACAGAGTGATAAAGAAAGGAAGAAAGCAAACTGCCAGGTCTGAGACTCAAACCGTGATTGGTTAGCCATGTGGAAGTCCAACGCCCTTAACCACCATACCACCTGCTGGCCCCCAAATTAAATATTTTAAATTTATTATTATTATTATTTTTAAATCTGGTACAGAGCACATCAGCTCACTAGAGAGACAGAGACCATATAGGAATTTACTCATGAAGTTGAGGAACTGGTAACACTAATCTAGGGTGAAAGAGGCAAAAGGAAGTTGTTATTATTTGTGTGTGTGTGTGTGTTTAAAAGAAGCTGTCAGGAAAACTGGAGGAAGATCAGAATATGTATAGTCATGGATCACTACAGGTACACTTCTCAGAATGTTGGGTAACTTTGTTACAAGGCAAACAGCAGAGTTAATACTTACACCAACCTAGGCAGTATAGTCTCCTACATATTTAAGCTACACAATATAGCCTATTAAAATCTTATGGGGCCACTGTTGTGTATGTGGTCTGTCATTGACCAAAAACGTCATTATGAAATGCATGACTGAATTATTTCTCATTATGTCACAATAATTTTTTCTTCTCTTTTATCTTCCCAATTGGCGGGCTTCTACCATTACTCACAAACCTTTCTCCCCACTGCCTTCTCCATAATTACTCACAGTAAATAAAAATGCTTTCTAAAATAATAATTTATTCATTTTGTAGCATATTCAGAAACCAATGGCTTTACAATGCACTAGTTAAAATCCTTATCCTGTTGTTTAGATACTGTCCAGTATGTTCACAAAGACCTTTGAGGTTTCTCCCCCATAAAAATAGGCTCAAATGATTTATTTACATGTCTTGTACTTTTCTTTTGCTGTGACATTCTCTGTCTATTCTTTCTGCTTGGATTGCCTTTTATTCCCCTCAAAATTCTAGCCAGTGGATCTTAAAAGCTTAATTCCCCAACCCATAAAACTGACTATACTCTATCTGGAATTAATTATTTTGTTTTCTAAATTCCTAAATCATTATTTTCTACAATATTCATTTAGCATTTACATACCAGCTCCTTAAACACTAACTGCTTTTTCAACTAATAATCTATAAATGCAATGAGTACATAACCAGGTACAGAAAAGCTACAAGGTCTGTGACCTTAGCCTCTCCTAATGTTACTATACCATAAATTATTCATCACATCCCAAATAGAAAAAAAGAGGAATGTATTAAATTATTGACATTAGATTAGATATTTGCTGGAGAGACCCATTCTAAATAGTGGATTAATAACACGTGGCCAGCAGAAACATGCATATGCCCTGGACTAAAGAACTACACAACTTAATCATCTAGCTCCAAAAATGACATTATGTGCAGTACCTGCTGAATGCCCTATGCTGACTTAGGTTCTGATAACAAAAGAGATCATGTGGGGAGCTCACAATTATTAGGGGAGAACATGCAGTATAATTCCAAACAGAAAAGTCTGATGATTTTAGACAAAAGGATGCATAAAGTCGGGTTGGGGAAGTAATGGCAGGGAACCTGGGAAAGTTTATAAAAAGGAGCAAAACTTTAAAGGAAAAAAGGAAGAGTAGTAAAAGGGACCAGCATATACAAGACCCAAAGAAGGTGTTAAGTAATTTAAGTAAGGTTTTAAGTAATAATGGATGAACTAAAACAGTGTCAGTTTTCACAATCTATAAACATTAAAAAACATTCCTAATTCTGCAAAGTAAAGAACCAAGTCTGATAATACTACTAACCCCCTTTTCACTTTCTGAGCAACTAAACTGGGTTTCTTTTTTATGTATTCAACTATTAATATTTGCTGTGACAGAAACAAGTAACAATAATAATGTTATGATTAAGGGAAAAAAGATGTTAAAGAAGTTTTCGTTATTTGACTACGCTTCTAACATACATGACTCATTTATTTATTATCAGAATGACTCGGGCACTCTATGTACAAGATCTCATTTTTGTGTCCCTCTCAGACTCACCTGATCCAGGAGTGATAAGAGGTCCCTCTAATTCAAGCGCTTCATCTTCAGATTGGTCATCTAGCTTTTTCTTTTTTTTCTTTGTTGGATCCCTGGGTTTTTTTAAGAGAGAAAGTTCTTCAGGATGCCTGATATCTATTAAGATAAGAAAACAGATTTTACTAGAACAAATAAAAAAGTGAACAGTTAAGTTTATGTCTTAATCTAATTTGAGGTAAGAATTTGTAATGTCCTTCTGTGCATATGTGTTTTTAACAGACGCTGATGCCACGCAAAAACCCTGATATATGACACTTCTTTAAAAAAAAAAAATCTACCAAAACCACTTGTAATTTATAACCATTTAATAAATGTATTGACTTCTATCTACATAGATTAATAATCCACCAGGGCACAGAAAGAAAACACTAGTGCCCTTATTTATTTACTTACTTAATTTGCCAGGGGGCACATGTGCTCACAGAAGAGGGGAGAGAGAGAGAGAGAGAGAAAGCACCCCTGCCTGTGGGGCATGGCCCCACTAGCAATTCCTTCTCCATTCTGTCTTTTTTTGGAGAGGTTTTGGCCTTAGGGTATGTGCGCTCGCTGGAGAGAAAGAGACACAGAGGGAAATTGAGAAATCATCCCCCCAAGGGATGTCCATGCCACAATCCTCTCTCTTCCATTCTCCTGAGGTCTTGGGCAAGAGCACACATGCACAACCACACCCGCCCAAGTGTAATTCAAGCCACTGGGTCTGGGACTCAAACTGCAGTTGGCCATATGGGACTCCGGGGATGAAACTGCTATGCCATCTACTGGTCCCATCCTTCTCCATTTCCACCTCCTTTATGAATTCTGGGCATGTACACACAAGTGCCTAGCGTGTTTTTCAAGCCACCAGGTCAGAGACTCAAGCCAGATCAGAGACGCAGCCAGTCATATGGGATCTGCTTTAACCACCACACCACTGGCTGGTCTGGAGCCCTTATTAATTTATTTATGTGTATGTGTGTATACACACACACACTTTTTTTTTAACCTAAAAAACTAGAATAAAAAAATTTAGCTTTATCACGATACATGAAGTAAATGCAATAATACTTTCTCGTCATTACCAAATCTCAAATTTTTATTAATATAAATTCTTTTGCTTTCTATTAAATGGCTACAAAATTTTGTATGTTGTTGTCATTTGTGGGGACTAAGAGGCAAAATAGGTAAATATTTATGTAACAAAAGAAATTAAAGATGACCTAAATAAGCTTAAATATATTACACTGTATGAGGAGGCTTTTAAAAGTTTGTAGGAAAATGGACTTAAAATATGTTTGAACTCTACATGTTTTTTTCATAATGTGCATTTTTCACAAATTTTCTGAAGACCCCTATATATATTTTATACACCATGTTCATAAATTGCAAGACTAATGGAAGTCGATTCTCTCCCCAAATGTGATAGATTTCAGGAAATTCCAGTCAAAATCTCGACTTTCTTTTTTGTAAAAATTGACCAGAAATCAGAACAATCCTAGAATAGCCAAAGCAATCTTTAAAAAGACAAAGAGGATTTACACTAACTGATTTTAAGACATCATAGTTATGATGATATAGATAGTGCAAGTCACTGAACTTAAAAGAAATATAGATAATTGTGTTAGAAGACAGAAGGCCCAAAATAGATATATATGGTCAAAAACTTTAGACAAAGGTGCCAATACAATTCAAAGAGAAAGAAAAATCTTTTCAACAAAGTGCTGAATAATGAGAGACTCAAATATTTTTAAAAGACTCAAATATTTTTTAACATTAAAAAAAATTAACCCTTACCTAACTCAATGTGTAAAAATTCTGAATGGATCTTAGATCCAAATTTAACAGCCAAAACCAATAAAACTAGAAGAAAATATAAGTTGACAGAGATTTCCTAAATAAAGTACACACAAAGAAAAGGAACCAAAAAGCTATTTAAAAAAAATTACATCAACCTGCTCTTTGAAAAATACTGTTGGGAAAAGAACAGCAAGCATATGTATTGAGGCAGAATATCTACAACACATATATGTATATCTGACTAAAGACTTGTATTCAAAATAGATAATGAACCCACACAATTCAATAATAAGACTAACAGATTCTAGTTTTGGATAGACACTTCATCAAAGATGAATACCAAGAACATGAAAACGTACTTGACATTATTGGTCATCAGGGAAATGCATATTAATACCAAAATTAGATAACATCAGGACCGGCAGATGGCGTAACAGTTAAGTCACTAGTCTCCTACCTAGTCCACCCTGATTCAAGTCCTAGACCCGGCGGCTTAAAACTCACGCCTGGTGGCATGTGCATACATGCCCAAAATCCTGAGAGGCAACTAGAGGAGAAGGGACTGCAGCATGGCCATCCCCCCACCCCTGGGGTGGGTGGTGATTTCTCACTTTCTGTCTGTGTCTCTCATGGGAGCACATGTGCTCTATAGCAAAAATCTCCCTTTAAAAAAAAAAGACAATATTATTACCTGTCATAGTGGCCAGCCTTAAAAAGACTGGTAATAATCAATGTTGGTGAGGATATGGGTGAGGAACTGGAATAGTAATACTCAGCAGAAAAAAAGGAATGTAAAATGAGTACGATATTGTAAAAGCATCTGTCAGATTCTCACAAAGTTAAACAAACCTACTGTGTAACTCAGGCATTCTATTCCTATTTACCCAACAAAATGAAAAGCATGTAACATTTTTATTCATAAAAGTAAAAATTGGAAATTACCCAAATGGACAAAATTGTACTATTTGCATATCAGTAGAATATTTCTAGGCAGTAAAATGAAACAAATTACTAATACATACAGTAAAATGAATGAGTGAATCTCAAAATTATTATACTGAGTGGAAAAAATTAACTAGGAAAGAGCATATCTTATTCCAGTTATATAATTCTAGAAAATGTCAACAAATTTACAATGACCGATCAATGGCTGAAAGCAGTCAGTTTGAGGGGGTGATAAAATGTTTGTCTTCACTATGATAGTTTTACAGTTGTAACCTTTGTCAAATTCAAATTATACACTTTAAGTGGTAACAGTTTATTATATATCAACTATACCACAATAAGGTTCAGTATAAAGAAAATGAAAATGGAGAGCCCATAAATATTGGGTCATTGGGAAAGTCATGACCCATATTTGCATGGATAAACAAAAACACATCATGACTTCCCCAACAACCTAATGAATGCATGGATGGATGATGGATAGGTGAGCACTAGGTCTGTATAGCTTAGTAACTGGCAGCACCACACTTTACGTGAGGATAACAGCACGTATCACTGTGTAACTTGTAATGCTACAGACTGATAAATTACCAAACGGAAGTTTTACAAGTGATAGTTTATAGCTTCATCATATATATCTCCATTAGATTAAATCTTGTATTACAAATTCAAGAAGCTTTTTGTTTGTAGGGTACCTGAAACTAGAATCTACCATACTGCTCCAGAAAAAAAGAGGCACAATTTAAGGTAGGAGCATAAGTCAAACTACCTGGATTCCAGTTCCAGTCCCACTATTTATTAGCTGTTTGACTTTGGGTAAGCCACTAAGCCTGTCACTGCCTAACTTTCCTCATCTGTAAGATGAGAACAAAGTACCTCAGAAAGTGGTTGTAAAAATTAAATAATAGGGCTGGCCAGTGGCATGGTGGTTAAGATAGCTGGATCCTACTTGGCCAATTGTGTAGTTCAAGTCTTAGACCTAGCAGCTTGGGAAACATGCCGGACTATCTCCCAAAATACTGAAAGGAGGGAGAGGTGGAGAAGAGACTGTGGCATGACCATTTCCCATAGCAGTGCTCGCTTGCTTGCTCGCGCTCTTATTTCTTTCCAGGGAGCACCCATGCCCTCTGATAAACTTGAAGAGAAAAATGATGTAAGACAAATGTTTTGGGAACCAGCAGTTAGCGTAATAGCTATGTCGCTGGACTCCCACGTAGTTGACTGCGATTCGCGTCCCGGACCCAGTGACTTAAAACTCACGCCGGGCGCATGTGCGTGCGTGCCCAAGATCCCAAGAGGAGAATGGAGAAGAGATTGCGGCGTGGCCATCCTCCCCGGGGAGGTGATTTCTCGCTTTCTGTCTCTATGTCTCTCTCTGTCTGGTGAGCGCACATGCCCTATAGCAAAAACCTCTAAAAAATAAAAAAAGTAAGACAAATGTTTTGTAATGATTAGATATTAATGTTTTTCTGTAAAAAAATAAAAAACCATGGTAAAAACTGAAAATTACAAAATAAGTTAAATAAGTCATTTAAAATCTCTTCTTGGGGCCAGCGGGTAGTATGGTGCTTAAGGCACTGGGTTCCCACATAGCTGACCATGGTAAGACAGGACCCAGCAGCCTGAATATCATGCCAGGTGCAGGTGCGTGTATGACCAAAGGAGAAGACACTGCAGTGTAGCCATCCCCCCCGAAGGGTGATTTCTTACTTTCCTCTTCTCTGTCTTTCTCTGGCAAGTACAAGTGCCTTACAGCAAAAACCTTAAAAGAAAAACAAAAACAAAAAACTATCTTTAAAGATGGTATATGGAAGCCAGCAGATGGTGTAGTGATTATGTTGCTGGATTCCTACATGGCTCACCATAGTCTGAGTCCGGGACCTGCTGGTTAAAAAAAAAAAACAACAAAAAACACACCAGGCACATGTGTGTGTGTGCGCCCAAGATCCCAGGAGGTGAAGGGACTGTGGCATGACTTCCCCTGCCCCCGGGGAAGGATGATTTCTCACTTTCTCTCTCACTGTCTCTCTCTCCCCTCTGGCAAGCACACATGGCCTATAGCAAAAACCTCTTAAAAAAAAAAAAAAGGATGGTGTATGAATACGTGAATAAATGACTTTAACAGCTACATATTCTATTCTGTAAATATAAAATTTAATCATTCTTCTCATACTGAGCACATTACAGAAAATAGTTTTACAAATATCTATATACATCTTTTTCTACACTGTACTTGTTTTGAATTCACTGTAGTAAAATTACTGTATTAAAGGTTATCATTTTAAGGGACCAGCAGTTAGTGTAATGGCTGTCGCTGGACTCCCATGTAGTCGACCGCGGTTTGTGTCCTGGACCCGGTGGCTTAAAACTCACGCTGG